GAATCTTCTTTAAGGTGGGACGCTCATATCAATTACATTGTTGGTAAGGCAAATCGAGTATTGGGTCTAATAAGGAGAACGTTTGGGTCTAAGGATCCTGTGCCAATCAAAACAGCTTTTATCGCTTTAGTTCGTCCCATTCTGGAATATGCCTGCCCAGTGTGGAATCCATATTTGGTTAAACACATACACAGTATTGAATCCATTCAGCGTCGTGCTACTCGATTGATATGTGGATCTCATAATTCTTACACTGAAAGGTTCACTGAACTAAACTGGTCAACATTGGAGCTAAGAAGAAAATACCTTTGCCTGGTTCAACTTTACAAGATAATTCATGGCTATTCTGATATTGATTATACCACATACGTGGATCTGACTGGCCCGACAAGAACTAGAAGAAACCATGACTTTAAAATCAGGCCTAGAGCAGCAAGGACAAACTATTTTGAATTTTCGTTATGTTAATGACTGGAACTCTTTACCAAACTCCGTTATGTCTGCTTCCAGCTTGAACTCTTTTAAAACTTTATTACTTAATTATCTTTGTAAATAGTCATATCTTTATTATTTCCTACTGAATCTGGATTTTCTTTTTTATTTAATATCTAAGTATTAGTATTTTATCTAAGTATTAGTATTTTATTTAATATCTAAGTAGTTTATTAAAGAAAAGGGGAAGGAGAAAGGGAAAAAAACAAAAACAAAAACAAAACAACTAAATTTTGTTTTTTTTGTTTGTTTGTTTGTTTTTGTTTTTGTTTTTTCTCTTAGTATCACATGATGTATAGTTATGTATTAGTTTTCTATTCTTAATTTTTTTATCTTTTCGTTTTGGAGGGCAGTTTTTATATGGGAATTCAGTTTCCCCCTATTGCTTTCCTTTACCTATTGTACTTTTATATATATATATATTTTTTTATTTTGTACATTGGTAAAAAGAATTATTAAAATTAAACTTAAACTTAAACTTAAACTCGCTAGATAAGGGGTGAAAGGTCCCGTCTCACAGCACTTTCACATAATTTGACTCTGTGGAACTTAGGTATGTGACAAACCTCTGACAGTGACCACCCTAACCTGCGATCAGGCGGTCCTTCTTCCCTTTTTCTGATCGCCTGATCGCCGGTCACGACCACCCCTAGTACCTATCTCTATTGGGGGCATATAGCACTAATAATTTGTGCTGAATCATAATTTATGTTGTGTAAAAGCACATCCTGCAAGCAGTCTTGCAAAGTCTCCTCCCAGATCCCCTCACAACACAAAGAAATAACTGAAATAACTGGTTAGTGCAGACATGACGTGACGCTTGAGGCATCTTTTAGCCCTGGGAGGGAGGGTTTTCAAGAAGTTTTTATACTGGGAGGCTCCGCTCTGAGGTCCAACCCCTTACCCCTTTATATACCATTTTTCACGAAAAAAGTACCCGTTTCGTATACCTTCTATTGTATATATTCTATCGTATACCTTGTTTAGAACTTTGCATCCTTTTTAACTGCTGTAAATGCACTATCGTTTAAATAGGAATTAATCACAAAAATTTCCTCGACTTAATGAAGCCATAAAATTCATCTGTTAGCCCTTTTGGCCCTTTCACAGACCTATATCACAGATTTCCCTGCCCTTTCGTATACTTCAACGATTAAAATCTCTACCCTTTTTTATTCCTGAAGCCTGAAAAAGGTTCCCCTTTCGGGCGGAGCCTCCCCGTATAGGCCATTATGGGGAGTACCCCCCCTCCCCAGGTCTTTTAGACGACCAGTCTCTCTCTCTTTATACAGACAGGCTGACACAAGCCGCCCATTGCAGTTCATTGTCTTTTTTGGAAAAAACGATCTGCATTCTAGGAAAAAAATCACCACCGCAATAACTTATTTGAAATATTAAAAAAAAACCAATAAGGGTGAAGTTGATAATACAATTAAGGAGTAATAAATAGCATTATTTATCACCAACAGATATTTTTTTGCTTCTGTTAACGATGTCATTTAACACCCTTCAAAAACTGCGAGGATGAACAGCAGTATATATTTGAAAAAAATATCATAAAATTGTGCTGAACTGTTACAAAAAAATAGTAATAAAACAATCTTTTATTTAGTGTACTCACCATCTGAACAATGTGCTCATAATGAACTCGAACTCGAACTCGAATCCAAACTCGATGTTTCAGGATTCGAGGCTGCAGCTTGTAATGAATGGGTTTAAAATTGACTTTCCTGCTTCCTGACCACCTTAGTCCGAGTTTCACTGGTACAATGAACAAGCTTAGTCTAGTAACCTGTGAAGGCGTCAGTGAAGGCAGCCGTTATCTCTCCTCACTCTACGTTGTCTTAACTGAGTCTATCCAAAAATTTTTAATCCTTACCGGACTTGCACGAATTAGGTCTGCAGTCAATCCTGAACTCTCTTCGTCCACGATTAAAAGGACAGACGATCACTATAGCGAATAAAATGAAAAAGAATTATGTGGATAAAAGTTACATGAATACATTTCAATACACAATTCAGGTTTGGATATTTTCAACGCTTGGCTTTACGAAAACTGAAAAATTACAGTTTAACAATTTTTTTATAATATCCACTGATCTTTTAATAAGAATAAAAATGTCAAAATACAAGGTATGAAACCTCCGAATGAACACCAGATGTGGAGAGTAGTTATAAGGGGATGCTTTCCACCTCAACTCACTGGTACTTTTTCTGGTCATTCCCTTGATTAATCCTGTCATTAACCATTAAAATTCTCCCCTGTTTATTTTCTGTCATTGAATTCCGTACTATTTTCAAAAATGGCACTGAAAAAAGTTATGTTAAACTTCTGTGATTTTCTGTTTAATTTTACCTTTAACCATTAAAATGTATCCTGTTTATTTTCTGTAATTTTCTGCCTGTTTTTATCATTTGGAGAATTAAATGAAAATTGACAAAATAATAGCTCGCTCCCTCGCTCGCTCACTCGCTTCGCTCGTTCGTCTCGCTTGGTCGCTCGCGGGAATGAAGGGAAAAAGTACCAGTGAGAAAGAGGTGGAAATCATCCCCTTATAACTACTAAAATAAGTATTATACAAAAATTTATGAGGATAAAATATATAATAAGATTAAAACTAAATTAAAATTGTTATAGTTAATATATAGAATGTTAAGTTATATAAAAGAAGAGATAAGAAAATCTATTAAAGAATCAAAGTATATTAAAGAGGATCTAAAACATTTTAGGAAATTAAATAGAGTTTTATTTCTCGTAAAGTATGTAGCAGAATTAATGCAAGATAATAAAGATGAAAATCTTAGTAGGTTTTTCTTATTATATTATAGATTTACAAAACGTTTTGGAGGAATATTTCAAAAAATCCCCTTCCTCAAGAAGAATTATAAGAAATTTATGTAATGCTTATAGTTATATTGTTCAAGGATTACCTTTATGGTTATGAGTTCTATGGATATGCATGAGGTGATATTGAATATATTAGTTTGGATAATGTTGATAATAGTAAAGAAAATCTTAATATCCCTGTTCCTATAACAAAAGATGACAAATGGTATGAGGATTTCAAAATAATTAATAAACGTTTATTGATTATTTAAAGATAGTAAAATAATAATATAAAATGCTTGAGTGCTAATAAGTTTTTTTGAAATGATAAAATTTGTTAGTTGTGAAACAGAAAAAATAAAATTTAAATTTAAAGAAATAAATATAACAAATTATAATGTCTCGCAAGGTCTGTCCAGATTACGCTAAAGATTACAAAAAGGAATTTTTTTTATAAAGGGAATTGATAGTTGTTTTGAGTACTTTTCAAATAATTTAAATAAGGCTACTACTGGGGTATTTCAAAATCATAAGCTTGAAAAAATAAGATTATGGTTACAAAGATTTGATAAGTTTCATCCTCCTAATACAAAACTAAATAAAATTAATGAGGCCGATGTGAGTTGTTCAGTTAATCTTTTAGAACAGCTAGCTAATTTTACTGATTATTATGTAACTGACGAATGGGAGTTTGATATAATAGAGTTTTGTACCTCTGTAGATAAAGATTTTCCAGGTTGGTCTAATCTTGTAGAAACTATTAAGTTATTTCACTCAAAATTTATTATGGTGGATAATTATCCTAAAATTTTAGTTAATTATGATGCGTCTGATGAGTCTGATTAAGTTTGTTAATTATTGTCTTATATCAATAATTGAAATAAGATGAAACAAAAAAAATAAAATTGAAATTTAAAGAAATAATATTAAATAATTATATAACAAGATGTCCACTGATTTAAGAAAGCTTTCCATTGCTGAATTAAAAAGTATTAAAAAACATAATCAACAAAAACTCAAGAACGATTATTCAAAATATAAGAAAAAACAAAAGTTGATTGCTGATATAAAGAAAATAGAAAAAGTCAGGGAAAAACTCAATCCCATTCCCGAACCCAAAAACAAACCCGTTAAAATCAAAACATTTGAGGACTACTTCCAGGAGTGTATCAAGAATAAAACAATTCCTCCCGATACTTCTCCTAATCTTCGCAAAGCTCTTGAAAGAGCGCTTAAAGAATATGACCAAGGAATTATAAAAGATAAATCAGCTCTAGATTAATTTGCTAACAAATACATTGTCAAGGGTACACCTGGTATTACTGCATTCGAATTCTTCAGATCTAAATCTCCCTATTTAAAAGACTTTCTTCGAAATCATCGAAATATTAAAGTTCGGTTTGTTTTAGTTTGTCTGATGGAAAAAATGGATGGTAACCAAAAATTAAGTATTACTGTTCAGGATAAAGCATATTTTCATTCGAGTACTCATATTAATCTTGAGTCAACCGATGTGAAAGAAATACTTGTTAAAGTTATTCATACCATCCTTGAAAAGATAACTACATACCAGCAAAATGGTAGTGGGTGGTATTTTTAAGGAGTTCTTCATCTTGAGATTCACACTGTTGTTTACAAACCAATGAGGGGTTCTTCTTAGATTCCTCTCCCAGATTGGATTATGCGAAAGAAAGCAACTGTAAACATTCGAAACACTGATGAAAAATGTTTTCTTTGGTGTGTACTCAGATATCTTCATCCAAGAGAGAAGAATGATATAAGATTAACAGACTTGAAGCAATATGAAAATGAACTTAATACTAAAGGAATGAACTTTCCAGTTAAATTAAAAGACATCAAATTTGAAACTCAAAATCCAACAATACCAGGGATAAACGTGTTTTTGGTTAATGAGAATAATAAGTTTTATCCTCTGAGAATGGCCAAACGAGACCCCCAAAATACAATTGACCTGTTCCTTTACGAAGAGGATGGAAAATGCCATTATTCACTTATTAAAAACTTTTCAAGTCTCTTCAGATCGCAAATAGCATCGCCAACAAATGGACAAATTTATATTTGCAAGAAATGTTTTACTCACTTCTCAAAAGGGGAATTATTTCAAAAACATATTGAATATTGTTCATCCAATGAAATAGTTGCCGTGAAAATGCCACCAAGAAACTCAAAATTATGTTTTAATAATTACCACAAACAACTTCCAATTCCTTTTGTAGTTTATGCCGATTTTGAATGTTTTACTAAACCGAAATGCACTTGTTGTCCAAATCCAGAGGATTCTTATAATTACAATTATCAGAAACATGAGCCATCAGGATTTTGTCTTTATATCAAAGGATTAGATGCTGAAATAACATTTAAACCAATTCTTTATACAAAAACCAATAGTGCTGATGACATTCCTGCGATATTTGTTTCTAAACTTGCAAAAGTAACAAATAAGAGATACCAAGATTTTTATTGTCGTCCAATACCTCTTAAATTAACACCCGCCGAACAAGAATCAAGCGGAAACCTGTCATATTTGTAAAAAAGAATTATTAACTGATAAAGTTCGAGATCATTGTCATTTTACTGGTAAGTATCATGGAGCTGCACATAATAGTTGCAACTTGCAATGTCTGAAGCCAATGATTCTTCCAGTGGTGTTTCACAATCTTCAAGGGTATGATGCACATTTGTTTTTTTAAACAGTTGTCTCGTTTGCCAGGTGACCTCTCCTGTATTCCTTCGACAGAAGAAAAATATATTTCGTTTTCCAAAAAGATAAAAGTTGATGAGTACATATCTCGTCGCACTGGAGAAACAGTTTCAGTGAATTTTGAAATAAGATTTATTGACTCTTATAAGTTTCTTCAAACATCTCTTGCCAATCTTGTTAGAAATTTACAACCAGATGATTTTCACAACACAAAGGCTATATACACTCAAAACATAGAATTGTTAACTCGTAAAGGAGTTTATCCATATGATTATGTTTCATCAATTGAGACTATTCTAAACTAAATGATGAAGACATAACTGATGCTGATTACCAACACGCACTCAATGTCTGGAATACTTTTAATTGTAAAACTATTAGTGATTATCATGACCTCTATCTAAAGACTGATGTCCTCTTGCTGGCAGATGTACTTGAGAATTTTCGAAAAACTTGTTTCCGCCATTACAATTTAGATCCCGCGCATTACTATACATCTCCTGGGCTAGCCTGGGATGCATGCCTCAAAGAAACAGGCCACGAATTACAACCGTTGCATGATTATGACATGCTGATGATGTTTGAGCGCGGTATTCGCGGAGGAATAACTCACATTGCAAAGACATATGCAGCGGCAAATAACAAATACATGACTAATTATGACCCTAGTAAACCGTCTACTTATATTCAATACCTTGATGCTAATAATCTCTATGGTTGCGCAATGTCGCAACCACTTCCTACACATGGGTTTAAATGGCTAAAAGATTTAACTATAGGTTGTGTAATTAATTTGTTAGAGCGCCTAAAGACAAATAAGGTGTATATATTTGAGGTTGACTTGGAATATCCTCGTAAACTGTGGGAGCCACATAATGACTATCCTCTTGCGCCAGAGAAGACTCTCGTAAATGGAGTAGAAAAACTAACTGGCTCTTTTAAACCCCGAAAAAAACTATGTAGTACATTATCACAATCTCAGAATGTATCTTGAGATGGGAATGAGATTAACTGCTGTTCACAGAGGAATATCATTTTACCAATCTCCATGGATGGCGTCTTATATTTCAAAAAATACAGAACTTAGAAAGACTGCAGCAAACAGTTTCGAGAAAGACTTTTTCAAACTAATGAATAATTCAGTGTTTGGCAAAACAATAGAAAACATTCGAAAGAGACAAAATATAATACTAGTAGATAACCGAAAGAAAGCCTCACAACTGTCAACAAAACCAAACTTTGATCGAGCAACAATATTTGATCGTAATCTTATTGCTGTTCATATGAAGAAAACTGAAGTGTATTTTAACAAACCGATATATGTCGGACAAGCAATACTGGATCTGTCGAAAACACTAATGTTTGATTTTCATTATGATTACATTCGAGAGAAATATAATGATGCAGCAGAGTTGTTGTTTACAGATACAGATAGCTTGTTGTATTTAATTCATACGGATGATTTTTACAAAGATATATCTAAGGATATTAAGCGCAAGTTTGACACATCTGATTATCCTGAGAGCCACCCATCTGGCATACTAACACGAGTAAATAAGAAAGTAATAGGTATGTTTAAAGATGAAGTAGCTGGCCGTCAGATTGCTCATTTTGTTGGGTTGAGACCAAAGCTTTATAGTTTCAAAGTTGAAGACGGGAGATTAACCAAAAAGTGTAAAGGGGTACAGAAAAATGTTGTCAAACGTGAAATCTCATTTGAAGACTATGTCCAGTGTTTGTTTTCTGGTGAAAAAAAAGATGAAGTCGATGAATATTATTAGAAGTGAATATCACGACATTTACTCAAAGGAATTAACTAAAATTGCTTTGAGTAATGATGACGACAAAAGAGAGGTCTTAGAGGACAGAGTAAATACACTTGCTTTAAGATAGTTAGATAAAGATAAAAAATGGTCTATAGCAAAGAGGAAATAGAACGGTATCTAGAAATATTAAAAAGTTATAATAGAACCTCCAGTGAGGTAGGGGAAGCGAATAGATGCATTAAATGTTGGAATTGTCACAGTGATTGTTTCTTCGTTAATTCAGGTTATTAAATCTGTGAGGAGTATGGTGCGAGTAACGGCCATGTTTTGGGGTATTATGATCAGAAAGATTATGATCGATTACATTTTCGAAAGAAGCGTATTTATCAGAGAAAGTATCATTATGAAAAAAGATTGATCAAGTTTCTAAAAGATTACACCTGACTGAGGATCAAAAGTGTTGTTTATACAGTAAACTAATGGCGATAGACAACCACGTCATGGAAATACTAAACAAACAATTTTGTCGAAAGAGAATGCTAAGTATTTTTTATGTGATCAAAAATTTTTTAGAAGAAATGGGAAATGAAAAGTACAAACTAGTTTATCTAAAGATTTCTGAACAAACTTTGGCGAATTATGAAAAGTGGTGGAATAGTTACAAATCTCTTAACAATGCGGCGTAGCCTAGGGAGGGGATTTTTAATTAGTTTAAAAACATGTTTGAATAAATAAAAGATGCCTCATTTTCTTGCATTTAGGTGTTTGCAAAGACGCTTCTCAAGTTTGCTGCAACAGTTTTGAATACATAAAACAACCTAATATTCTCATTCGACATCATACTTACTTAAACGATACCAGAAGCTTTACCCCAGAAGAAGAATACAGCTGTAAATTAAACATGATCAAACAAGATCTAATATATATCGAATCTGAATGTGAGGTAAAAAAAAGTATGGCACACAATGACAGAAATAAAATTGCTTTTGTTAATAATTTAGAACAAATCAGGGAATGTCTTGACAACCCAAATAGGAATAAGGAAAATTTTTACATAAATTTTTTATTATATTTCTTAATAAATCGATCTGCAAGAGGAGTTTGGTCAATTATCATTTCATCTATTAGTTTCATGCGATCAATAAACTCTTGTTTGTTAAAGGAGTCTCCCCGCAGAGCTGAACGCAGTTCAACGAGCACTTTTTCATACGTTGTAAGTGCAATTTGTGACATTTCAATATTTTTCTTGTAATTCTTCATTTTTGCAATACTTGCCACAATAACGCCAGCGCCATTGGTAATACCGAGGATTATTGGATTTAGTGTTATTCCCCCCGCTATAGTGCCAAATGACAATTAATTCTCCTCCAGTAATTGCTAGTGTTTCGTCTAGTTTTTTATATCTCTTGTATGACTTTTTAAAACACCAGTATTTTTTGTGATAATGTTTGTAGAAATCTTTGAGACATCCAACTTCTGTTTCTGACAGAGACTTGTCAATGTGATTAAACTCAAATATATTTGTTTTGTCAGTTTTCATATCTCTTCTACATAACCACGAGATAATTTTTCTTGTACGAGAACTCTGTGGTATACCTCTGAGTCGAAATCGTAAAAGTTTGTTGAATACATTAACCTATGTATTACTCCATCATCTGATGAAAAACCAAAATTTACTCTTTGATTTTGGTTACTAAGTGGAGAAGACGCCTGTGTTAGAGTTGAGCTGTAGTTGGACACCTTTGCTTTTGTGATCCTCGCATTACTGTTTTCTGTTTACCAGATAACAATTCGCTTTACATTCATACTACTAGGTAAGGTAATAACTTGTGATCCCTGATTAGTTGTCAGGGTTAATCTAGTTGTTCTAGAATCATATTTTAATTCTGTTCTAGGATTAACATAAACATTTGCAAACAAAGTAGAACTTTTATTTCTCCAGAATTACATTACAACACACATTGTAAAGTTTGGACTGCGTGGGACAGTTACTGTTAAACCATATCCATTAACTCTTAATCCATCCGCTTGTATTTCAGCTATATTTTTTGTGGTAAAATGAATGTTTGGGTTTAAACCTGTATAAGCAACTCCTGATGAACCTTTTGTTATTTTATACGAATCAGCATCAGAGAAGTCATAGAACTCACTAAAGTTTGCTCTGTACAAAGCATTTGCAGTGTAAGGAATTAACTCTTTTACCATTCCAACTGTTGCCACGCTATTATCACTGTTTCGATCAAGTTTGATATTTTTAATTGCTTTTTGATTTGCATTGATGTCGACATTGTACACTACTACTGTTGGGTGAATGTCAAATGCGGTGTGATAGTCGTAAACTTTATCTGGGTCGATATTGCTAACTGTACTCGTGATGCCATAGGAAATCATGTAAACTCCTGAAAAGTTTTTTGGATACACCGCCAGGTCAGATCCTGTTTGGGGGATGTTAGCAAGTATGTGGAGAAAATATTTGCTGCCAGAGTTTAGTTTTCTGAAATTAACTATTATTCTATGGTAATACATAAATTGTGTTTGACCTTTTGAATCGCTGTACCTATGGGAAAGTTTCCTTACACTAGCATTTCCAGTAGTTAATCCTTGTGATGTGCCTTTGTCAACACTTATCTGGGATTTATGCCATAGTTGATAATCACGGTTAAGTATTTCTAAGCACAGGGTGTAATCAGTATTTGCAGCTAGTCTGTAAAAATTAATTCCCATTTTATATTTGTAACCACCCTGAGAATTCTTAATTATAGTCGTATAAAGAACTTTGTGATTGTAGTCGTGAAAGTTGGCTTGACTAGGTAGTAAGTTATCTATCTTTGTTATATTAAAACTATTTCCACCATCTATTTCATTGAATCGAGTTTGACATGAGATAACTAAACTGATCTTTATAATGACTTGGTTGAACTTGAGACTCATGCAACTGGCTGTCGACGTATTTTTTAGTTGCCGGTTCGTCATTTGAAGCGGGAGTTCTAAGATTCGTTATTTTATGACCGCTAACATCAAGATCTCCAGTCATTAGGACACTCCCATCTTTCTTTAAGTAAGGACCGAGATCTGGGGCGGTTGTGTTATCATCCACATATTTTTTGGTTGCGGCGTCTGTGGGGTTTGTAGGCGGTCTTAAATTATTTATACTTTTATTATCCATGTTTAGATTATTAGTCATTTTATTTGTTCCAGCAACGTGGAGATATTTTAAATCAGTAAAACCCAATGGTGTTGGTTGCTTTGGTCCATTTGGAGATGGCAGATTGAATATTCGTTTGCCGTCCATATTTAGATTTCCAGTCATTGGGGTAGTTCCATTTTTTTTGAGATAATCAGCAAGTTCTGCTTTTGTTGCATGAATTAATGCTGCAGCGTTTATTGTATTTGTTGCTGTTGTATCAACATAGGATTTATTTGATGCTTGGTCGTTTGCAATTGGAGTCTTAACATTGTAAATGTAATTATCTCCCATATCCAAATATGTTTTCATTGCTTCTGCTTCGTTAATTCCAATAAAGTTTTCTTTTACTTCTTCGTAACTAACTAATGATTCAGTATCTGTTTAAAGTTGATTAAATGTTCTCTTTTTGTTGTTCTGAATATTGTAAGAATTTTTTAAATTAATATCAGCTGTTATATCACCAACCCCAGCATTATCCAATTGCTTGCGTGTAACAGCATCACTTGGATCTGTTCCATCACCAAGATTTACCAATCATATCATAATTTCCATTTGAGGTGAGACTAAACCCAACTCCTGGAGAGCCTTGAATTCCTCGGGCAAATGGATGATTATAAGATTGTTCGTTAAATATTCCGATTTTAATTATTAGTTATATAATCAGTGAAATTTTTGCAATGAATTTCTTTGGTTTATCCACATACAGAAATGTAAATGGTTTCTAGTTGCCACTTTATATTGTGCTTTGTCTACTCCTAACTCAGATGATATTCTGTTGGACTCCCTCGACGATGGAAATTCGTACAGGCAGTAGTGAGAACAATTCAATCGAATATCCTTTGGAGTTTTGTAAAATGACTGACTGAGGTAGATTACAGAGCAATTCTCATGACGCCCTTGAATGAAATAATCAATTATTTGTTTTGGTTTTTATCACAGACGTAATCATCAAATATCACAAGTTTTTTATTGTCTTCGTAATCCATTTCTGTCACTGGGGTTACTTCATCGTTACTCACATGAAGTATTGCATAACCCAGGTTCATACTCAATTGTCTCATCTTTTGTATTAGCCGTCTGTAGTTAACCTGTTCTAGATTACGCGCATAAAGATAAATCTCATCATAGTACAACAGTGGCTTAATTAACATGTGATACAGCAGATTAGTGTTACCAATTCCACTATTTCCACAGATCAACATTCGAAATGTGTCTGATGGCATGTAGGAATACAGCTGTTTGTATTTTTTATCTGGATCATCAATGCTATCATAATTAGGTATTTCCATTTACATAATGATTAACTAAAACTGGACATTCAAGAAGCCAAAAAATTTGCAAAAAATAAAATTGAAGCTGATGCTTTGTCTAAACAGGTGAGAGATATAATAAAAATAACAAAATGGCAAAAACAAAATATGAGAAAGGGTTTTAAAGAAACATTGAATCCGCTTATTGAGTCGCAGGATAGTGTTAAAAAAAGTATTGATAAACAGCAAGACTCATCAATAAAACAACTTCAAGCTAATCAACTTGCTCTTACACAAGGTCTTAATCAAAACAGACTTGCTATAACTGAAGGATGTGATAAAATGGATGAGGTAAAAAGATGGGATTTGTCGCAATTACCAGGTTTCGAAGCAATTGAAGAGCCTAAAAAACATGATGGAGTTTTACTTTCTCCAACAGAGGAAAGACCAAAAATAGCAAAATTTAAAGCTGAAGACCTAGATAGATATTTAATGAGTAAAGAATCACAAGATATACTAAAAATTAATGAATACCACAAACTCCCTTCTGAGTATTTTAAAGAAGATGTTTGTACCAT